AGCCCGTCCAGCTGAGCCCGAAGATGGTCCACGGGTGGCACAAGATGGGTGGGACCGCGCTCGAGACCTCCAGGGGCGGGTTCGACCTCCACAAGATTGTGGACGCCATTCGAGATCGCGGCTTCAACCAGGTTGATAATTTCACCCAATTGTTATGAATTTTGTGCAAGATTTGTATGTATTTGCCAAAAAATTCGTAGTTTGTTGGTTTTTGGTAGGGTGGTAATGGTACTCCAATGTTGGTCCTTAAATCATATGATATGTAACTTTTCACGTGCACAAAAAAACACACACGAACACAGGTATACATAATTGGTGGTGACGGCACAATGCGCGGCATGCTCGAGATCTTCAACGAAATTAGGCGCCGCAACCTCCACGTTTTGGTTGCCGGGATCCCCAAAACAGTAGACAACGACGTTGGCATCATCGACCGCTCGTTCGGGTTTCAGACGGCTGTTGAGATGGCTCAGCACGCAATCTGCGCAGCCCACACGGAGGCTGAGAGTGCCGTCAATGGCGTGGGACTTGTCAAGCTAATGGGCCGCAGCACGGGCCACATCGCCCTGCACGCTACCCTCAGCAGCCGGGACGTGGACTGCTGCCTCATCCCCGAAAACGACTTCTTCTTGGAAGGCAAGGGCGGCCTCTTCGAATTTCTCGATGGCCGGCTGAAAGAAAACGGGCACGCAGTAGTGGTCGTGGCCGAGGGTGCGGGCCAGGACGTGATGCTGAAATCCGGCGAGCAATCGCATGTGGAGGAGAGGGATGAGTCGGGAAACCCGGTTTTCATGGATGTGGGTGGGTGGTTGAGGTCGGAGCTCAAGAGGTGGTGGACTGGGGCCCACCCGGGGGAGCTCTTCACGGTGAAATATATCGATCCCACATACATGGTCCGAGCGGTCCCAGCGAACGCGACTGATAATTTGTACTGCACACTCGTGGCGCACTCGGCCATCCACGGGGCGATGGCCGGGTATACGGGCTTCGTCTGCGGGCTGGTAAATGGGAACTATGCGTATATTCCGGTGGAGGAGGTGGCTCGAGCAAAGAACATGGTCGACACAAGCGATCATAAGTGGGCCTGGGTTAGGTCCATCACTAATCAGCCTGATTTTGGGAAGAGTTAATAGTAATGGGAAAGGGTAATCCGAAAATTTTAATGAAATAATCGGTCTTCTTATAATAAGTGTTCTTGTGTATATGTTTCGCGTTTACTCATTATGATTACTCTTGTTTCGTGTAGTTTATGGTTTTCCTTTAAATTCAGGTGTAGTGTCTTATGGTTTTCTTTTGTAGTTTTTCTATTTGAGCACTAAAATAGCACATGAAATGCTGTCAATTCAAGAACATCAAACAAGATAGTGTTTTTTTGTGATCGCTTGAGTTTTTTTTTTTAATTTGTGTCTTGTGTTTTGCCCGTGATCTCGCCGGCAACCGAGTGTTGTCTCACCGGAAAGTTTCGAACATAGGCCACGAGCGACTTGTCGACCACGACCTATCATTTTAACTGAAATATGACGACCACGACCTATCATTTTAACTGAAATATGACGAATCGAACCGCCTGAATGCTGTTCAGTTTGTTTGATTTATCTTAATGCCATTAGTTGTGCCAATTCAAGAACAAAAATGAGCATATGATGAGAATAATGATCATATTATAAGGAAATTAAGGTTGACAGACATACATTAACAGACGCACATTACAAAACAAAACAGAAAGCCAAAAGCCAAGAAAACATAACCAACATGGAAAGCCAACTCGAAGGGAAGAAAATTCCAGAATTTATTCAATGGTTGGAAAGTTGTTGCTCATATCTTAACGTTTATGCTTTAGTTACAAGTTTCTCCCCAATTCTTATTCTTGTGGACTGGTCTTTAGCAACAGTCATCCCCACAGCACACTCTTGCACAAGTGATCAGCTGCTTGGAGTAATCAAACCGGCAGCAACGGCACCCTACAACAATAAACCAAAAACGCAACTACTCTTAAATAGACACAACGTTACTGAATTAATGCGTAAAGAAAAAAATAATCGTTTTTATCGGTCTAAAATAATCATTAAAAAAAAAACTACCTTGAGGGTAGACTACACGCTCGGAAGGTTTCGTTGTCGTTGTTGCTCCAAATGAAGCCGTGGCTATATATGCAATGACTATAAGCCATGCCAAAATGGTCACCAGAGTTTTCTTGCTCGACATTATATTATATTCTTTTTTATTTTGCTCTTTTCTCTCTAGTTTTATGTTGTAACAAATGCTGGCATGTTAGCCTTTCTCTTCTCTATCCTATTTATAGAGGAGAAATTCATCTCTGATCGAGCAAATGATACTGCTGAGCCAGTGTGTGAACAGGAGAAGATGAAGTTTCTCTTCCACTTGCAGCTTTTCTTGACCGATAAACATTCTGCATTCGGTATATTGAACGAATGTAGGTTTGGCCAAGTACGAAACCACTAGTGAGGATAGTGAGTAGGCCAAGGCCGTTTACTTCACATGGCTGACTCTGGTTTGCATTTGTTTGCAAGTGACAAGTTGTGTGCAGGTCCACTGGACTCCATTATCAAACTCAAAAATGCAATAATTGTAATATTAAACATTAATTATTTTATCTTTTTGTGCTTCGACAACAAAAATTGGAGCTTAGTTCCGAACAACCTTCCTTGTGAGACGACACGAGGTTGATATTTACGATTTAACTTGGGAAAAATACTACTAAACACCGCCTGGGAAGGAAGGACACGGTTCATTATCTCAATAGGAAGCACCAGTTTTGATCTGGCCAACTGTCACGATAGAAGCACACATTCACCTTTGGTTCAACAACTTCAACTGCCAAATTATCAACAGTTTTTACAGTACATTCCCGAAAAACCAGTGACATATATGAAGGGATAATTAATAGTTCTGTACGAAATGGGGACACAGTTTATTATTTAGTTCAGTCATAGAGCCTTATCCTTGTAGTTATCTGTGTGTGGCAAACGGGACACCACGTGAGATCATAGCCACACTCATGACAAGTCTGCAAATTAACAATGTATATCAATATTGTTATTATTATACTAAATATGTAGATTTACAAGATGAACTTAAATTATAACATGACCCGTGTTTATTGTGCTGTTTACCTGATGGCCGCATCCAAAAGCAAGGTCTCGTCTGTTATAGAAACAAACCGGGCACCCCTGAGTATCAACCGGAACATAATTGTTAGCAAGGTAGATATAAATGTCATTTGAATGATAAAATATAATGGAAGTGCAAAAACATATATGTGTATATATATGCATATAAACCCACCCGAGTACTTGAAGAAATTTCCGAAACACTTGGGGGAGAAAACGAGGGCGTAGGCGTGAAATTTCGGCTGCTCGACCGGGAAAACATTGGTGACCTCAACGTCGGAATTGGAGGTGGCAATGGAACTACTGTGCTAATTCCTCTCTGGTTGCTGAGAAAGTACTTAAAAGTAACTTCCATAGGATTTGGTTAATAAAATTGGTGGCAATGAACAGAGCATATTTTGCTTTCTGCTATACAGTAACCCATTGCCTTATACAAAATGAGAAAAAAGTTAACAGAACACTGTTTTAAATATATCAAAATCAAGTTAAGTTTACCCCAAGAGATGGAGTTCAATAGTGGCTCTGTACTGTAAGGGGATTTCCATTAGTGTCGCCAGAGCAAACTCGGCCTCCTTCTGTTGTAGAGGCACATTTCTCGACATAACCTCCGTGAAGTTCACAAACTGCGCATCATTTCCACCACCAAAAATACAATATGATCATGCATGGAATACAAGTGTTCAAAAATTTTCACACATTCTTTACCTGAATATTGTCGAACTTCCTTGCGGGAATATTATCGTCAAATTTATGCATCATGTCCCATGGCCCGTCTCCTACTCCAACCACTACTATGGACAGTGGATAATCGCTGCAAAACATAAGCGTAAAGAGCAAATATATAACTAAATAAACGGTGCTTAAAACAAAGATTTTCGAGTAAAACAATATCCCATCGAATACTTTTTTTTTTCTTTTTGCTCATTCTAACCTTGCTCTTACTATGGCATCCACAGTCTTTTTCTCCTGAGGACTCAACTGCCCAACCGCTGTGTCTACACTTCGCGTCACCTGTCACGGCACACGAAACTTGAAGAAATCTGGACTAGGATAGAATGAACTTTGCTTCTTCTTTTTTTTTTTTTCTTTTTGTAACTCGATTTTCCAAGAAGACAGAAATTAAATGTGGTTGAAGAAGTACCTGGCCATCAGCTATAATCAGTAGAACATGATACTGACCACCACTTTGATCGACAATCCCAATAGCCATCTCGATTATGGGAGCGAACGACGTAGGCCCTACACAATCGCAAGACAGATAACTCAGTAAGTTACATAAAAGTAGTCAAATAAACCAAACCCCCCACATTCTTAAATCCACAAAGAAGCTCGAAAAAATTAGCTGGTTCAAACTAAGCGAACCTGATAAACGCACATATGGAACAATATCTCTGTACCGAGCGAGTGCCTCCTCAAAGCCGTCACACGACCTGCCGTCCGGGTAGAAGCTAAAAACGTCTTGATCATGCGTACTAACTGCAAAATAAAAAGAAAAAATCATTTCAGAATTTGTATCAAGTCTTAAAGAAAGAAAAAAGGAGTAGAAGAATTAATTACCATCTCCAAAGCCAAAGCAAGGGATGAGATTATCCTCGTCAAATGACGGAAGTGTCCTTCCAATGATGGAGATGGCATGCTCGTATGGGTTCATGCCTTGGCCTATGTAGTGGAGGGACCTTCCACTGAAGGACTCTCTACCAGTCCACTCGTTGCTCTTCGTGAAGTCTATGCCCACAATCAGATTCGACGACTCCAGCCCGGATTCCGAAAGAGCTCGTTTCACCTAACGGCATTACGAACGAAAACGAAACTGTCTAGTTTAACAAGCATGCCTTAAAAATCAAAAACCAATCAAGAATGTAAGGAAAAAAAAAAGAAAAAAAAAAAGAAGAAAACACGTTTTCATCAGGAAGCTGACTATTTTTGTTGAGGTCGATTGTTGCTTTTCGGTCGAAAAAATCGAGAATCATTGGTTTGGATGATCGATGATTGTTATTACCCCTTAACCATAAATTCAAGAGAAGAAGTACAGCTTATAGTGTCACATACATTAATTCATACAGGCAAGAAACATGCTTCTTGAAGTTCCAACAGTTAATTTCCTCACAAGAAACAAAATAAAGCAACAATTTGGAGTCAAAAGCTACATATATACATATAGTTTAATTTTACCTGGTCTAGAGTGGTGTAGTTGTCATCAAACCTTCGAAATCTCGAGTAAACTTCCCTTTTGCTCTCCGAAACAAAGTCGGACTCGGAAAAACTAAGTTCGTGAGCAGATGAGCTGCCGACCGGATTTGTGGCCATAACATCTCGGCTCGGTTTGCCACCCATGTCACCTTTCGCAACAAAGTACTGCCAAAAGCCAAAAACCAAATGAAAACAAGAAACTTAAATGATTGACAAATATGCATGAAGGGTTGTATTATAACAGCTAGGTTCAAGAACTAAACAGTAATATTTTTTTAGTTGACTTTTTTTTTTTTTTTATATGTATATTTTTCTGACTTAAGCGTTAGCTTCTGTCCTTGGTTCGGAGTTCGGACAACATGCCTTCAAACGAAACAATTCTTTCTTTATATCTTTTATTTTTCCAGGAAGTTATAGACTTATAGAATATAATTCTTCATATGGAGTGTCATTATCATTTTTATTTAGTATCACATTAAATGATTTCTTAGGTAATACGTCGCATTTGACAGGAAAGGCATCAAGAATTGTTCAATTTAATGTATTTATTTCATTCTTGTTTTGTAATAATTCATGAAGGCTTGGTTTTTTTTTTTTCATGAATTTAAATTTAATATACCCGCTTATCATGTATTGACTATTGAATGTTCAACAACAAGGTTTGGTCGTTTGGGCAGCACAAGCAAATGAGCATTGTGGCTCTGGCGCGCCCCATTATTGGTTGACTATAAAATAAATAATGAAAGACCGAAAGAAAGTTCTTCCGGTGAAAGTGCCAAGAAATCTGGTGAAAGCTGGTGAGGTCGACCGGTTTAAGTTGTGAATCGATTAGCGATTGTGACGTGAGATGTTAAATAGTTTGCTATGCATTTCTGTATAACATGGTGAAAAACTCGCATAATCGTGAATCGCCTACAGAAATGCATAGCAAACTATTTAACATCTCACGGCACAATCGCTAAGCGAGTCACAACTTAACCGGTCGACCTCACCAGCTTTCACCAGATTTCTTGGCACTTTCACGATTATGCGAGTTTTTCACCATGTTATACAGAATACTATTTGACAGATGATGACCTTTTAAACATCTGAGAAATCACTGAGTTTCAAGTTTTGGAATGTTGCCAGATTTCATAGATTACAAAAATCTGGTGCCTAATCCACTTACTATTAAGACATAATTTACACAACCTACCCTTGGTGTAAGTCTAATAAATTCATGCACTTTTTTCAAAAGGATACAAATGTCCATGTGCATTGTGTTTGTACACAGATTTCACTCCCCATACACCATAATACAGAAGACTTTATCTCTGGCTCTTTTCCTGATTTCTTCTAACTAAAGCTTTCTCACGTGAGCTCGACCGAATCCCAGAAGCCCCCTCGTCCCGGATTTCCTTTCCTTTCTCCTTTCCGGGCCCCACATCTTCTCCTATTTTGAAGCTCGGCTCCGGCCTTAATTCCAGCTTACCTCCGGTAGTTTGGGACCTCTTCAGTTGAGACATTTGCGTTTTGTCTGTTGACGAGTTGCTTTTCCCCTGTTCGAAGAAGAGAAGTTGGATCACTGTCCTCAGAGGCAAATGCTCGTTCCTCACGGCGTGGGCCTGCATTTCCGGTGTCAGCTTCCGGCTATCTAAAACCCGACACAGCTGTTTCTTATCCGTTTTGCTCAGGTTGGGATGTTCCTGTTTCTCTCGACTGTATTAGCATGAACGGAACTCGGGAAGTACATAAAAAAATTGTTTTCCATCAATGGAGTTGTTTGGTAAAAGCTGTGTACCTTAAGATAAATATCGATTGCCACATACAAATCATCGTGAGCTGGTCGAGCAACTCCAGGTACAGTCTCAGCAAGAGAAATCATTTTCTGAACCGACAAATCTGCATCTTTTGCAACCACCTGCAGATAATGATCGATAAGCTTCCCAACCTTAGTTATCGATCTCAAGGCCTCAACTCCATTCCTCAACTGCCTCACGAAACTCTCGAAAACCTTCTTGACCGAATCAATGTCGACAGCCTGCAAATCACTAGAATCAGCCTCCTCGAGCTGCAAACCGCATAACCTCAAGAGCTCGGATTTTGTGGCACTCGACACGTCAAGAAAATTTGCGAATCTCAACAGTTTGAGTAAGAATTTAACCGAGACGGACCCTTTTTCCACTGGAATCAGGCACACGATCGTCTCCAGTATTTTCTTTTTCATATTTGGAGATTCTGAAGCTGAGGTTGAACATTCATTATTGAGCTCGTTTTCTGTTATGATATCGTCCGGCAGCCAACGGCATGTGTAGACGTGCAGAGCCTCTCCTATGAGCTTCTGCTCGATAGAATTTGTCGAGTTTAGTGAAGCAATGATGCATCTGAAAATGTCGATATCGAGAAGGGACACGTCCTCTGTCCACCAGTCTTTCGGGTGGCGCTTCTTCGAATAGCCCGATCGGGTGTAGGTGTAGGACCATGCAACCTGAAGGAAATAATTATTGAAACTGTCCTTGAAATTTGGCGAACGAAAAAAATTTACGCCTAACCTTGGCAGGAGGTGTTAATATCTTGTCGATAATGGACTCAATGCACCTTCGAACAATAGCAAGACTTCCGGACCAATTATACGCTTTCCCAGTGTTGTGTAGAGTCACAATAGGATCCTTCCAGCCTTCAAGAATGCACGACGAGAAAAAAGTTTCCAATTTCGCCACAAAGTTTCCATTTTCGACTGCTTCAGTCATTTCGAGGTACTTGGCGGCACAAAAGACGGGCAAATAGTTGTGTGCGCTGACGTTTATCGTGATACCGTAGCAGAACTTGGCGCAATGCTCGAACGCCACGTGTCCTCCCGGGATGTCATCTAGTTTTAAGGTGACATCATCGCTCGAGCCACCAGACTCGGAGTACAGCCTTCGTAAAAGCCCGCATTTCGGAAGGAGTGGATACTGCAAAACCATATGATGAAAAAAGAGAACATATACTGCAATTTAGGTGTAAATGCAGAACTACCCCTAAAGTTTTTGCTAATTACCAACTAAGCTTTTTGTTTTCTTGACATGAATGAAATCTCTGAGAGATAATTTTACCTTGTGGAGAAGAAAAGTGATATTATTTACACGTACAGTGAGGTCACTTGGCACGTCCGATAAAACTGTCCTGATAATATCGTCGACAAATTAATGAATCAATAACAGCATTAATCAATTACAGGAATTCGAGCTGATCACACGTACTTACCTAGTGGCTTCCTCCGTGTAAAATGTGTCCGGTCTGGTCCCGAGTTTCATGAACTTCATTTCTCGATACGCCGATTAAAGAACACTCTGCAGGCAATGGAGCAAGCTATATAGAAACTGTTGTCCATATGAAATGTTATATAGGTTGCAAGAACTGGTTAAGTTACGAGGGAGATCAATAATTATGAAAATGAAATGGGGTCATTTTGAGATTAATGACAATTGTTGTATGAAATCCAAATTGTTATAATAAGAGGATAATCCCATATAGCATATATAAAGTAATGTTATAATAAGAGGATTAAAGTTGGATCATGTCAATCTATAAAGCTCACTTCTGTGTGACATTATTGTCTGATCACAATGCACCTTTAATCCTTTATTATTTTCTTTAACAATGATTAAGGGGGACCATGTAATATCTTAATAATTAGTTAATTAATTTGTCTGTTTACATTCACATCATCAGAAAAATACTTTCTTGGCACCTTGTTGTGAATGCAAAACAGAACCGAACTGAGCTATTCGATGCGGTTTTTGACGAGTTCGGTTAACGGTGCGGTTTGGTTCGGTGCGGTTCGATTTTCTGTCCGAAAGGTGCGGTGTGCGGTTTTAACCTCACCTTAATTTTTACACTTTAATTTTACTTACATTACATTAATTGGTGATTATTCTTTTTTAATTTCGATTAATGGAAAAACCGCACCGAACCAAAGAACCGAACCGAAATTTTCGGTTCGGTTCGGTTTTTCCTTCTATTGTTGTGCGATTCGGTGAAGAAATCTTAAAGATCCGGTTTTCGTTATTTTTCGGTGCGGTGCGGTTTTTGACCGAACCGCACCGATGCTCACCCCTATCTACAAGAAACAAGAAGCTGCAGATTAAGATAAATGATCAAAAATTGAGAAGAAATAATATTAATGTGGGTACAAAAAAAGAAAAGAAAAAGTGATTTTGTATACAAGGTTTGATTCTCGATGTGCTGCATATTGATTAAATGATACATACAGCATGCATGTGGGTCAGTCAGAGATGCACACATCTTGTGAAGTAAATTTACATAAATTTAGAATTCAAACATCATGGTAGAAAATTTTAACTTTTCACCTTTGGTATTTTTTGGGTACTTGGAATCTTACTTGAAGATCATTGCCCTTGCTTTTGGGAGAATATAAATGATGGTGAATAATGTTTAGTACATCAGTACAAAACTAGATGTGCATGTAAATATATATATATATATACCAATACCATATTGTTATTTATTGTATGAATATCATGATACATCACAATTCAATGAAAACCTTACCCTAATTAACATCGAATTTGGATTACGATTGTATAAGTTGCTCCGAATCACGGCTTCTAACGTTCGTCGCCCTTGGATTGGATTATCTAAATCATTAATCTTTTGAAAGAACAAAGGACACTAATAAGCATGTGCAAAACAAAGAGAGAGTACTTACTTGAAGATTATTTGCTTGGTGTGCATGTAATAATAATATGGCTAGTGAACAAATTATAAGAAGAAGAAGAAGAAGAAGAAGAAGAGTAGGAATTAAAACAACTTTTTAATGGGCCATCTTAAGACAAAGAAAACCCTACCATAATATGAAGACATGTATGAGGTAAAGAAAAACATGCACGAAATGTGCTCGTAGTCAACATAGTTGTTAATGCGTGTCTATAACTTATGGAGCCGTGAGGACAACATTAAAGCCATTGATGCAGTTGTATGAAGAAATGTCATAAGTATCATCCTATAATTTCACTTACATGCTATACTGGTGTGACTATAAGAAAATGATGAAATTCCAATGAAAAAATTCCGACGGAAATATATTCCAATGGGATTCCAACGGCAGTTTCAATGGATATTCCAATGTTATTATTTCCGTTGGAGTTTTTCAGTAGATTCTAACTACTATTTCCAGCAAAAAGTTCCGTCGGAATAAGTTTTCCATTGGATTTTCTGTTAGAGTTGACGATGGTTGAAATATGAGTGGAGATGAAAATTCCAACTGAAATTGCATATTACAACGGAAATAACACTTACGGTAAAAAATTGTTGGAATAATAGTCGTTGGAATGATCAAATTCTAATGAAAGTCACTCCAACGGAATTTTTCAATTGAAATTTTTATTGGAATGTGAAATTATTTTAGGGTGTATCATTTAATTTGGTTTGGATAGTATAATTACAAATGGCACAATATGTCGATCTAGTGATATTTTGAAACTTTTTTATTAATTTATCTTCTTAATTAACTAATTTAATGAGTTTTTTGTATAACATTTGTAAATGGTCACTAGCTTGACAATTCACGCAACTTAATTAGTCTATTATATTCGTATTTTGATCAAAATTAGTTTTTATTTTGGATTTTCAAATATGATGTGATCACACGATAATGACCAAGCTAGCATGATATGAATTTTCGTAACATTTACCATACAAATACCAAACAATTAATGAAGTTTAAATGTATGACATCAATTTACCATACAAATACCAAAAAATTAAGTCTGGTGTGAGAATCGTGAGAACCATACTCGATGCTACTTTTAATTGTGTATGATGTTATTTTTAGTTGTGTATGATGTCCCTTCGACTCGACACTTTTGAGTCGAAGAAACTTTGTTGCGGCGTGCAATGCAATGCAAGTGGGTGTGTAGTATGAGTGGGGGAATCTCAAGGAGCATCGGTGGGGCCCATTAAGAAAGATCCAATACCACTTTCTCATCATATTTCTCCCCACTGCCCCGGGTTTAGTCTTCTTGCTCCGATCAACAAGTGTGTTGATGGATGGTCTTCTTACCTCTTATTTTTGTCGACCCTGTGTCTGCTCATACACCAAGTCTAGCCAAAAAATAAAGCTGGCCATTATGTACAAAGAGACCCCACCAAATCATTTTAAGATCGAATGAGAAATTAATTCTAAAGTTGACGTGTGGGGAAAACAACGTTTTCAAGGCTAAATAATCGATCTATGTAACTCAAAATTGAGTTTTAGTAATTGAAATATTAATTGTTGAATTTGCAAATATTTGATCTTTGATAATTGTTTGAAAAAAAAAAAAAAATGCAAACTAGCTAGTATCATATATTGAGTAAGCATGCTAGAACTCTATGCGAGTTCACTAGGGACGAGTAGAAAAACAAAAAAGGGACCCGATTCTGAGTCTGAACAAGTGCATACAGGCTCCAAGCGCGTTGTGCCATATTGTGGGAACGACGACCGTCGTGGGCGTGACTTGATCGCGATCGGGCGAACCTATTCTTGCTCAAAAGATTCCAACTCAGTTTTGGATATGTTCAAGAACATCTATAAATACACTATGACTTGCAATTCATCAACATTAGAGAGTTTAACATATATATATATATATATATGAAAATGAAATAGAACGTAAATATATAGTGAACAAAAATAAATAAAACTGTCATTTTTTCCTATATAAAAAAAATGCGTATTAAAATCTTATTCATATTAATATAAACAAGTTAGCAGGCAAATATATTGATTGACTTACATATTAGCCTAATAGGCTCAGGTATAACGGTACGAAAAATTAAAAAAACACCGATTAAAACAGGTGAAAAAGAAAAATAGATGATCTAATCATATTATTTTTTTACTTAAACGGATGGTTATATGAAACTTCGTCATTTAATATCTTTATTCCATTACGGGCTACGTATTAGTTTGAAAATAAACATTTAAAATCATAAGAACACGCTGATTAATGTTACCAAACACATTCAAAAATGAAAAGTCTGTATCATCCTATTGATAAAGTTTTTCTAACTCACAAGTCACGCACGATTTGCTATGATGGAGGCAGTAGTGATGATGAAAATCATATTAGTAACATGATAATCATGGGTATAATTAATACATAGAGTTGTTTCACAAGAAGATTATGTGGCTAACGTTGGGATTCTAATATATTGATTCACAACGTGTTGAGTTTAAGCGGCAAATTCTCACGCTTCAGATTTTGACATGACGAAAATTTATACTCCGTGATGTTGTTTTTATATTATTTTTGCTCTCAAGTTAGGTTTGGGATTAGATATATATAATTTTTATCATATATTTCTTAACTCAACCCGTGTTGAATACGAGTATCGTACTAGTATGCTTTATTTTGAAACATAAAACTGAAATTGGAATTTGATAAGATGATATTAATGTGCTCTGATTCTGCAAGACCACTATTTATCTCGAGCTTGTTCAAGTCATTGGAGGACCTTAGCTTAGCTCGAGTATGATCACTCCAGAGAATGAGCTCCTACCGAACCTTTAAAAAGATCGAGTGAGCTATTCAACCACACCGACCTGTGGAAACGTCGAAAATAAATCAGAACAGAAAACTTTTCACGAAAAAATAAAAAATAAAAACCCACCAAACTCATGAAAAATTTGAACAGTGCAAATTAGATCTCACTTATCAGCAAAACAAGGTTCACAGACCACCACTACTCCATTTTCATCTGAACACCCAAGAAGTCTGAATTTCAACCAAAGACGGGGACCCATAAGTGGGGCCATTTAACACCAACCACTTGGAGAAAACAGTCCAATATTTCAAGTGGTAGATGAAGAGAAGAGTTCGAGTGGACCCATGAAACTCGAAGGCCTTGTTGACTTTTTTCATCGATAAGAGCTGAGGGAATTCGCACGGGAAGTCACTAGTAAATCAGGCCCAACTTTCCACTAGTGCAAAATCCGAAATATTACGAGGGACATATCAGCACAAGGGGTCCTCACAACAACAGAGCGCAGGCAGATGCAGCAACGACACGGAAATTCAGGAGAAGCTTTCAAACTTGCGACGAAAATGTAAATTTTGAATTTTTGATTTGGAAATGGACAAATTCGGAAGGTAATTTTTTGTTCTCTGTTGGAAGAATTAATAATCCAGCATCTTTGAAAAAAGGTTCAAGATAAACATAAATGCCCCACTTCGCCAAAGTGAGCGCGCGAAAAAAAGAAGAAAAAAATGGGCAAATCCAAAACAAGACAGGGTATGGAACAATATTGGACACATGACAACACTATATCATGGCACAAAACAAAAATTGTAAGTACTCCTGTACTCGTTATTCTATTCTTTGCAAAAATAAAAAAACCTCTAAAATAATTCTATAATTCGTAGGCAACTTGAATTTAAGCAGAATACTCACCTTCAAGGGCTTGTCCACAGTTTGTTAATGCATCACCGAGCATAAAACTGGTATCCCATGTTCCACGATTCATTTTGAAAGCCTTCAATTAAAAGATTTGAGTACAATTATGGTTTATAACTCAAGCAAGCCTCTAGAACCTTCACAGAACATGACGGGTAAGAAGGAATGTTATGAAGTACAACAAAAAGGATTTTCCATAAGCGGGAACAAGATATCCCTTATGTGGAAGAAAGACTGAATTCTTCAGGGAATACCATTATAAACTCAAATTAACCACGCTATGCCTAGCCAAACAGATCATCGTCATCATCATTATCATCACCATTGTTAGTCAAACTGCCTTCACTTTTACTAGGAGAACCTTCTAGAGCCCCTGACCCAGCAGATGCATACGCCCATGAAGAACCCACTTTGACAGATAACGAATCTCCATAAAGATCACCGTATAATCCAGCATTCTTTGCTGGAGGAGCCTTGACCTTGTTCAAGACCTCTTTCAGTTTATCAGTTACACCACCAGTCTGTGCATCAGTGGCTTGCATTCTGGGGTTCTGTTCTTTTCCCTTAGGTATAACTGTAATCTGTACAAGGGATTCATATTTCCCAACAAGACTTCCTTCTTTCACGCCCAAGGGCCCAGGTTCAGTCTCCACATCGGCCCCATCAGAAAATCCAACAATTTCAACAAGCTCTGCCCCAACCTGATCCTTAAACATCACCCTTGCTCGTTTTATTCTCTTGGATGCCCTTTCAGGAACTGAAGAGAATTCTGATCCTGCCGATTTAGATGGTGTCCTCAGTACTTTTCGCCCATTCAAGGACTGGTTGATGCGCGTGTTGTAAGCTACAACTGCTTCTTCATTCGAGGGGTCGGGAGGTGGCATCAAATCAATCTCGGCCGGTTGAGGAGCTGGTGGGAAAAGAGCGGCACTGTTCTTCCTCAACACATAAGTTCTGGTTGAAGCAGCAAAACGCAAGGACTGCCCGGCCTCGAGTTCAACGGGGGAATCTTTGGTCAGACGCTCGTTGGCCACAAACGTACCGTGTGCGGAGCCCAAGTCAATCACGTATATGCTGAATGGTGAAAAAAAAAAAGAGTAGTGGATAATCAGCCAACGAAAATTATGAGATTTACATTTTAAATAAATCGGTCAGTATGGGCCAAGTCAATAAGGAATAGTTGCTCCATAAGATCAACAACATAAATTTTTATAGTCTTGACAGCTGATATTGCGAAATCACCTCAGCACACATCTTAGTTCTGAAGCCAGATCACTCTTAAGCTAACATGAAGATTAACTTCCGATTCGTATTGTTAGCGATATAGGAAAAATTTGGAGTCTAACGACAATGAGACAACCATTTTACACCACAATAAAGTTATGGTGGAGCACAAATCTGAACGAACACTGACAACTGAACAATAAGCACAAGTGTAATATTAACAATAACCCTTACCTGCCATTTTTGTGCGGGACCACAGCAGCATGCTGTCTTGACACCGACTGATGATCAAGCACAAAATCACAAGCATGAAACTGCCTCCCGAAGATATGCCTCTTCTTCTCCAGCCTAACCTGATCAATAACCTCCCCGTCCTTCAAAACTTCGAGATAGTACACACCAGGCCGTGGCTCGATTGCCCAGTCAGGAGGCTGCCAGGTGGACTGCCCCCCTCCAACCTGAGTAGCTTGTTGGGCTCCAACCGCAGTTGGGCCCACATCCGCAGCTACAGCCCTTGTCACTGCATTCAGGTGATTCAGATATTGGTTTTGTTGATACGAAATTTGTGTTTGTTCAACAGAAACTGCAGCTGGATGGGCTGAAGCCTGTAGGTTATTCGTTTTAGAGGTGGGTTTTGAGGAGACTGAGAATGGTTCTGAAGACTGGGCTTTCTTGAAACGATCAAGACCCGCTCTTCCGTACATAGTTTTCAATGCTCAATTTACATCAAGACCTTTTGGAGACTCCAAAACTAAGAATACAACATCACAGGCACCAGAATATGAACACAAACCCTGCAAAAACAAGTATCGTGATAGTGTTAAGTTCTACAAGTTCGTTCTTCAGTAATGAAAACACTAAAATAAACTGTAAGTCCTAATGCTAACCCAAAAAGATAACACAACATTGAATTTCAACAGTTAAACATCGAGGGGAAAATAGAAATTAATGGGTCTTGGTAAAAAAGTGATCTTGGGAAGATAAAGGGGCAAATCAAATAAATCTAACTACTTGGAAAGCTGCAGCCCATATCTACAACACAATGCAAGAAAAAACGTACAAAAAAAAAATAGCATCTTGTAAGCAGGCAATGCAAAACAGCAGCTGAAAAGATGTATAAGAACACGAAAAAGACATGAATTAACATACGACAGTATTGAGTTAGTTCCTCCTCCGAAAAAAAAAAAGGATAAAGAAAAGAAAGGCAAGTAATTCTAAATTAAAGCAACGGCATCTTCTCGAAGCTTCTCGATTTGCTGAAAGAATGAAAACTGTGATTGCGTTATGCAGCACCCACCTCTGATATGAGAAACGTTTCGATGCAAAAGAAAACCTTTGAATTGGGGAATTTGTTACAATATTAATAAGCGTGAGAAAGAAGGAGACTTTAATCTGTAAATCGACGACGGTAAAGCCTGAGGAAGACGGAGGGAGGACTAGGGAAAAAAAATAATGTGGGCCGAGTTATGGGTTTTGTTTTGACAAGCCTTTGATAATAGCCCATATCTACATTATTCAGCCCATATAAATATACATGTATGGGAAATGCTACGGTCTCGTTACGGAATCATTTCGTCGAGATTTGTAACCGTTAAATCATCATGTAACCGTCAGATATAGTTGATTTAACGGTTATAAACTCCGACGGAATGGTTCCGTAACGGAATCGTAGCAACTAGCATCTTCCTACATATATGTTAATAAGAAATTTACAATAGTAAACCAGCCAATCCCATTTTTATTGCATATATACATGTTATAATTGTTATTACTTACATGTACTAGATATGTATATATATATATATATATATATATATATTTCATTAGCTAACTATAGGAGACAAAATATAACTACTTTTATTGTTACATTTAAATATTTGCATTTCTGTGCTTGAAACAATTGGTTTTTCCAGTGAATGCTAAAATGACACCATAACCTAGCTTATATATATAACTTATTTATGTAGCTTATATTCAAATAAGTTTGGTTCGGAATGACAAATTTTTTTTTTTAAAAAAAAAAGAAACTAAATTCATCTCATAAGTTTCTTTAGATAAATTTTCAAATAAGCCCATTAAATATTTATTTCGGTTAACTTATCAACTAATTTTACCACACTTTTATTATATCACACTAATTTAGGAGTATATTAAATCTTAAGAATGAGTTAAGCTGAAGTACATATATTTGACTGCTAACAGACAACACCTGCAAATTTAGACCTGCTTCAATTTTCTGAATTTACACTAAAGGCAGACAAATTCTCTCGAGTCGATTGTGAAAATTTTCATGTCAAAATTGGTTACACTAACTGAAGCCATTAAACAATAGTACATTAAAGTCTCCAAATAGACACATTATGGGCACATGCAGGATAAAATTCAAAGAAACAAGAGATATAACTTGTACTAATGCTACAACAAATTACATATAACCCATATATCACAATACAGCAGCACTGAGCCTATCGGACCCCGGAAAAACACATCGCCTTACAGTTCTCGATTGAAGGCCCGCCCTTATGCATCAATGCAGTCAACTTTGTCAATCCTATGTACAATCAGAAAGCCCAGTTAGTTTGCCGCTTGAACCGCGCAGCAAAAGTCAGTCCAACAAAGGTCAAACCATGCACTTTCTGTGATGACTTTAAAGAGATTGTTTGTTCTGTGGTTGTGTAAGTATTTGTGAGGTTAAAACTATGATCCCGATACGTATTCCTTCTCCAATACACTGAACATGACTTTAAGACGTTCTTGAAGATTGGACACAATGTTCTTTGTGATCCTCTTTTGGTGTCGGGTGTCCTTCAACCACGCGACCCCAAAATGTACTTGAACGTTGCAACCTACCGACCTTGAAGGTAAATCTTCGACTTGATACCTCAAGTGAAGCTGTAAATAGGACAACCCATATATTTAGTACAAGATACTCCATCAAGAAGGAATAGAAAATGAAAATTAAAAGATGAGCATACCGTGAAGTAGTCGCCAAGCGGGACCCCGTGGAGAGTCATGACTTCCTCAACGAGCCAACCATTTTTCCCAGAAAGTCGAGACTTCTGCTGAGTGCTGGTCACCTCCCCTCTGTAACGAGATATGCGCTTGTCGAACTTGTAATACAGCTGCCTCTGGTACACGTCCGGTTTTTCAGATTCCCATGGGCTGTGAGAGTAATTGAGACAGCCAGCTCTCTCCATCACCCTTCGATCGATCTCGCTACCTCTGAACAACTCCATGAAGAAGCTCGTCTGAGAAGGTGACAAAACAAAAAAAAAAACCAAAAGCTTTTTTCAGGTCAAATGAATGCTAATTGTCTGGGAAGATGTGTACTGAGGGAAGTAAAAGTGGGGGGAAATACTCACAGGAAGAGAGAGGATTGAGGAATAAACAACGGACATGTTAACATCTTCGACTCCCAAAAACGAGCCACTCTCCTCAGTGGAAAGGCTCTTGGGCTCGGAGTCTTCATCCACTGCTTGAAGGTTTTTAGGGTCGATTTCCTCGTCTGTAGACATGAGATTCTTGGTTAGGGCATCCTCTTCAGAAGCTTGGACATTATTAGCCTCAGATTCTTCCTCCACGATTTGTACCTTCTGCTCGAGGGTCAAAGACCTTGCCCTCCACAGTGCCATGATTGTTCTGATAATAAACGCCCGCACATACACGTGATTATTTGTATGTTAGAAGAAAAACACACACTAGGTTCGCACATACACATGATTATTTGTATGTTAGAAGAAAAACACACACTAGTATTACCAACCATTACACAATCATGTCATAAATACAGTCTCTAGTATCTTAATGTTCATGTCACAAATCGCATACATTACTACATTCCTGAAAATGGACTAACACATTATCATAATACCACCAGTCACTCTCTCAATACATGTATTCATATAGATAAACTATATTTTTTAATACGTTTATTTCGAACATAAAAGGGACGTGGCATTGCATAAACAGGTTACAAGGTTAAGAGAATAGATCTACAAAAACACACCAAAAGAAATATAACAACTGCAAGAAGACATATTTTGCAAATTTCGTTAACTGTATAACAATAATAGAGCCACACTTGAAGTTACCTGTGTGCCACATTGAAAGACACGAATGAATGAAAATGATACTTGAGCCGGCCTTCAGTATCCTGAGTCCTTGCTCCATGCCGTGCATCAAATCCTCTTCCTGGCCTTAATGTCATGATGATAATTGGACTACCCATTGATGACAAAGTTGGAGGTATGACTTGAATGTCTTCTATATCTTCCCACAGAAAGAAAAACTTTGTCTTGTGCCCAAATAGATCTGCATGAAACCCAATTATTCTCGCCGACAGAAACAACCGCCCCTGGGACCACAACCTTAAATCAGTACTTTAGACATAAAATTCCCCGAGAGATGTACGAATTTAATCAATAATCACCAAGCTTCATCATCTTCTATAATATGTTGATATTCCCTATGGAAATTCTGTTACTATATGAATAGAAGTACTACAATAACTAGCCAAATTAATTACCTGGAGAGGCATTCTCCGTTTTAAGTGACAAGCAAAGTCATTGATAAGAAATTCCTCAGGTGGTAGCCCGAAAAGCTTCTGAAATGCTGAATTTGTTTGAGGAGAACGCAATCTTATCTGAAAAAAAAAAAGGAAAAATGAAAAAGTTTCCGTATTATTTGAACCAGAAGGTAGCACATTAAAAATATATAGATATATATATTCCACTATGAAGTGAAACTGTAACTAGGAAAAAAGAGATTATTTCTTACCTTCTTGCCTACTTCCTTCTCCATCTTAGATATATAATCTTTGACAACATTACCACCTCGAGTATTGTTCAAGAATATTCTTAAATGCAATTTCGACTGGCACGCCTGGGCCAGCTTTCCTTGTAGAGGAATCCAAATATCTGACAGCTCTGAAATATTTGATTTTAGAAAATTAATCTCAGCACGTCCAAGAGACGTAGCTTCATCAAAAGGGCCATCGAAATCAAAAACTTCCACGTCCAGCACCGATGGAGGGTCTTCCATTGCATCAAATTCAAAAATTTCTGCAAGGGGCCATTTGTTGTTAATGAAGAATCCACTTGAACACACTGATTTAAAGAATTCTAAGCAATCCTTCGGAGGAGGATAACAGAGAATAACAGACTGTACCATTCCAAAGAGGATCAGATTTTTGAAACTTGATAGAGCTGGTTCTTGTTTTCCCATTGCAAGTGAACACCACATAGGGATCAGAGAACCCACTCGAGTCAACGGCCGCCAAATTGCTTCCTGCAATTAGTGCAACTGTGAGCAACCAGCCATCTCCCTGTGCTTTGATTCCATGATCACTACCTGTAATATAAAATATTACGAGGAAAGAAAAAAAATAGTTCATCAAGAACATATAACCATGCTAAAGAAGATGGGCCAATTGAGACTAAAGCCATGATGTCAATAAAAGATGTAAAATCATATTTGAATAGCAAATAAGCTGCATAGATATGAACAAAAGGCATTATGTACGTATAATGAATAGTTCTATACTCAGAAGATGGTAATAGTAAATCACCTGTTTGCACTCGGGCCTGCATAAACCGGGACATCAACTCCAGCACTCTTTTCCCTTGCAGAACCAAAACACCACACACTATCACCTCACCAATTGAATCCGGCAAGTCCAAACCCACAAACTCAAGACCCTGAACCGTGCTTGGCATACTCAGCCACACATGCACGAGCACATACAAGCCCATTAAAACAGTAGATATCACTGTGAAATTAGCAAAATACTGAACAGCCAGTTTCCAGTCTGACTGACGTTCCACCTGAAGGGACGCCAGCATCTGATCTCTCTCGGACCCAATATCCTTAAGATCGAGCGGCTTCACAATCTGAGCCAACAGCTTCTCATAATGTTCGAAGCTTTCCTTTATACCTTGCCTTGCCCCACCTTCTATCATACCCTTCATCATTGTGCTCTGCAAGAAATTAATTCGCCAAGAAACCTCCAGGCGTGAAGTCTGCTCTCCTGATGGCTGCTCGGGCCCTAACGTTATGCAGTAAAGCACCTCCGCCTTGAAAGTTTTTCCATAAGGAGCATCCGGCGTGCTCACGCTGGAAATTACAGAAAAATTCTTACCGTCGGCTTTCAGGAACATCTGCTCCTCGGTCGTTTTCAAAGCTTTGATCAGCTTACTAGCAGCTTTCGTGTAAGAAACCACTCTTTTTAGAGTCTCACCACAGTTTTCAAACTTCCAGGGGCCTATTTGCAAATCCGTAGATCCCTGTGAATCAGATGCGGTTTTCCAAAAGTCTGAGTCCGGTGAGAACAGTATCGAGTTCAATTCCCAAGGAGACGTCCCATAGATTTGGTCGAGTGCAACGCCTCCTGACAAGCTACTTGGGATCTCACCTCCTTGATCTTTTGCCTCCATGATTTTCATCATCTCATCAAAATCAACGGAAGTGGTTTGCTCCTCAGAGTTTTGCTCCATTACCACAGGATCCAAGCTCTCGGGCAAATCTAATATCTCAGCTGCTTCAACCGAACTCGACACGGATGTTGAGTCCGAGTTCTTGTTAAACATTTGTGCTATTCGGCCGGCTAATGTTGGAGCATGAGGCTTTTCCTCCTTTGAGGAGACGGTTTCATCTAATCTCGTGGTAGAAGATGACCTCACAGGCGAAGATCTCGAAGGACTGTCCATTATGGAGTCAGCTGATTTTCTCGGCAGCACAAAGGTGTCAGCCGGCAAGAGGTCGAACGGCGTGTTATTATGAGAGAAACATATAGTTAGAAGAATTTCACCTACAGCACATAGAGATAAGAACCACATCAAGACTTCTACTTTCTTATAACCATGAACAACAGTTGACCAACAACTAAAACCATCCACATTACATAAGCAACCCGAATAGTTAAAACACAGAAGTTTCGAACCGAAATATCTCAGACTATTAACATAGAGGAAGTAAACAATTGTTCATTCAAAACACCCAAATATAGAGATAAAGAAGATACAATACCACAATCCTTGTTCTTGGACTTTTTATTCTTAGGCTGCAGCGTGTACCAGGTGGTTCCAAGGGACTTGTCTTTGGCTTCGAAAACGTGACTGACGGGGATTTTGATCTGCCCGACAAAATCATCATTGAAGTACTTATCTTCATCCAAAACACATATGAGAAGCTCGTCTTTCAAGTCGTCCACCTTAAAGGTGAACTCCTCACACCAAGATGGGCTCAGGCATTTCTTCACAACTTTACTTCTAAACTTTTGCTTGCCCAACTGCAGTTTCACATATGGATCACTGAACCCATTTGGGTCGAGGGCCGGTATGTTTTTCGCTTCGATCACACGGACTAAAAGCTTCATTTTTTTTTTTTTAAGTCAACAATGTTGCAGGAAGACTTTGTGCTCACATTCATCAACAAACACCAAAGATATTTCACCGCCAAGAACTAATTACAGGTGGGGCACACCGTGATCAAGTACAGGAGAAAAGGGGCCAGCCACAACTCACAAATGACCTCACAAATGACCTCACAAATGACCGCACAGGACCACAATCCCTAGAAAAAACAAGAAACGTAAAACAAATGAACAACAAATTCTAAATTAAAATTCAATGCCAGAAATTGTGAGGACGGGTGTGTGTGTAGCCAAGAAGCGCGGCAAAACTGCAAGAAATTGCAGGAGCAAGTTGAAATTGGTTGATCTCTCGTGATCTGAAAAAGGGCAGGTGAAATTGGAGACGGGAGAACGAAAAATTAAGGAAAAATGTTAAAAAAAAAAAACCCACAAAAAATGGAACTTGAAATTTGCAGATGGTAAGAAGGAAGAAAGGGGGGAAAAAAGATAGTTGAATATAGAAAAAGATGAATGACTTTTCGATGCAGTTTCGCTTTTGTTTTTCCAATTGCAACTGCGCGTTCTTGCTGATTTGAGTTTAGACTTTGGGCTCTGTTGACATTTTATTTTTATTTTTTTTTTTTGTTTTCGTTAATGATTTCATAAAATCGAATCGGAATTTGACATAATTTCATCGGTTTTTACATTTCGATTTGCTTACGGAAGATATGACGAGAGTTGGTATTTGGTAATATTTTATTGAGGGAATATTTTTTGTCCAAATTTCGGGATCTAATCTAAACTTTGAAAGACAATCAAAATATTTTATAAAATTTTATGGAGAAATTTACTAATACCTCCATTTTTTTTTAAATGTCCGTTTTGGGTTTATCAACAATTAATCAAATAAATGACGTTTTGGAATTTTTGTACATATTTTTCCATTATTACTCTCATCTAGCTAATGAAAACATTACGTCTTTTCATACACACTCTTCATCTTTTTCTCAAAATATTCATATCTATCCTCGTTAATGAGGATTATAATTGGCAAAAAAATATCCTTAACTAGTGCGTATCACGTGCGATGCACGAGTAAACAATACTACCTCCTATTTTTTTAAATGTCATTTTGGCATTATCAACTATTAACAAAATAAATATTACCTCCTATTTTTAATATATGTCGTTTTGAGAAGTTGCACACTAATTAAGAATATTTTTTTTGTCAATAATAACCTTATTTAATGAAGATAGAGATGAATGTTTTGAGAAAAAATGAAGAGTGAATATGAAAAGACGTAATGTATTTATTGACTAAATGAGGGTAATAAGGAAAAAATATGTACAAAAGATCTAAAACGACATTTATTTTGGCAAATAGTTGAAAAAGCTAGAATGACATTTAAAAAAAAATAGGAGGGAGTATTATTTTGGATATTTTGTACATATTTTTCCGTTATTACCCTCATTTAGCTAATAAATACACTACATCTTTTCATATTCACTATTCACATTTTCTCAAAGCATTAGTCTCTATCTTCATTAATGAGGGTTATTATTGGCAAAAAAAATATTCTTAATAAGTGTGCAAATTTCCAAAACGTCATTTATTATAAATATGAGGTAGTATTAAATAATAATTATAAATAGGTATCGAGTTCGAGTCACCCAATGAAAAAAGTGGGAAACCACTATTGATCTTCTCTTAAAAGAGCAAGAAAAAATATTATAAATTAAAGATGAGTGTACACGATATTAAATAATAATTATAAATTAACGATGTGGGGTTAACATGTCATATAATTTACTGTATATCAGTTTATTATAAACGATATAAAATTAGCTTGTTCAAGTGAACATAAAATTTGTATATTTAAACAATAAAAAACTCCTAAAATATCATTAACATATGTAAAATTACCTAAAATTTTATATATTACTATTAAAAGATGTGAAGTCACATACATCTTTTCTAAATTATTTTGTAAAGAAATATATTTAAAAACATTAAAGTTTACATGTGTATGAAAGATATTTTCTGAATATGACATGATAAAATATTATAAGCCTAAGAAAATACATTAAAGGTTTTGAATGAAAATTTACCTAGTATAAATAAAATAAATATTGACATGATGTTGAAATTTATGAAGATACTACCGTACCTGAAAAATTGAGTATAGAAGATTTCAAAATTATTACTATTATTCTTTTGAGTAATTTGAGTACAAAAATTTTCAAAATTATTGTTATTCTTTTAAGTAATTTGAGTACAAAAGTTTCAAAATTATTATTATTTTTTTAGTTATTATTTTTTATTATTATTTTAAATAATTTGAGTACAGAAGATTTCAAGATTACTATCATTTGTTAGTTACTGTAAAAAGAAATTTTGTAGGCATAAAATTTCACGCTTTATGTAGATTTATCAATTTTACAAAAAAAATGGGATTTATTTTATATTGACTGAGACTAAGACAATTTTGAAAAAAAAAAAATATGTCTATTATCAAAATTATCCTCTTGATTTTTGAAACAATGCATTTGTAATTTGACTTAATTATTGTAGAATTTAATTTAAAACTTATGGAAAAAAAATTAAAGAGATGAATTTCAATTGATTTGAAATTCTTAAACCATTTTGAATTTCGTACAGATTAAAACCAAAAAAATGGAAATTCATTATGATTTTTTAATTTCCAACAGGTTTGTTATTTTTAAAGTGGCACAAAATTCTTCATCTAAGGATATGGATAGAAGCATTTAATTAGTTATTTTGAAATTCAATTTAAACATAATCCTTTATATTAGGAAGATATTTTGAATTAAACCCAATTTTATGGCAACTAAAATGAGAAGAAATTTTGAATTTCAAATTTTCAATTCAAGTTCTAAGAAAAAATTTTCGGCAATATTTTTGGAATAAAAAACCCAATCGATTTTTTTTTTTTTAAATCAAATCGAATTTATAGGTAGGTTATAAATTTTTCTTGTCTATTTAAAAATATATGTGAATAATAATAAGTATAATTATAAATCTTATTTTGTTTCATTAATTTGATGATTTTGTTTTTATATAAAATATTCAAATCAAAAAATTGAAGTGGTTGAGTAATACCAAAAGAAAAAAAGATCTCTGATAGTTGATTATTAAACTATGAATAATTGACTGTTTCATTTACGTCGTCAAAGTTAATGTTGACTCATAAGTTTTGAATAATTACTTATTTGACTTATGAATTTAGAACTCAAATTTGGACTACACACTAAATTACCTTATATATTTGATATATGAATATTATATATATATATATATATATATAATTTCGTAATTTTCTAGTCCTTGTCGTTCAAATTTATCAACTAATTTTCTTGAATTAAATTTCAAATTTTAATTTTATTAACCAATAATTTTTCAAATTTTATGGTAGCATATCAATAAAAATAAAAATAAATTAGGTAGAAATAAAATAATTGATTGAAAAATTTTGAAAATTTTAAACAATAGATTTAGATCAATTATTTATTTTACATTAACTTAAATAAAAAATTACGTATACATATAAATTTTCGCATTAAATATTTATTAATAAATACCAAATTATTGCTATTGGTTTTTTTGGAAATCAAATAGCCCATCTCGATTTTTTTTTATATACCAAAAATAATTGAAAGAATCCATATAAATAGGGATTCTTTTCAAAAATTAAAAAGGTGTTGTATTGAGATAATTATAGACAAAAAAATTTTGAAAAATATTTCTTATTTTTTTCTAACAAAATTAATTGGAAGAGTCCATATAAATGTGGATTGTTTCCAAACAAATTGGTATTTAGTTAAAACTTTTTTAATTATGTTATTTTTAGTATGTAATTAATGATTTTGACGGGAAATTGTTTCTAAATTTTTAAAAAGGTTATTTTTTTTATATAATGATAGATTACTGTGCAAGTTCTCAAAATGACATTTATTAAAAAATAGAGAGAATACTATGTTTATACCTATAATTTTTTACCAAGAATATTTATTACAATATATAATCAATTATTTTGCCATAAAAATGACAAAAAAAGGTTTTTATTTTCAAAAAATAAGTATCCCATATTAAGTTTTTAAAAAATATACATTGTATAATTAACATTTTATCGAGAAATGTTACGGTATCGTTACGGTATCATCCCGTTAAATACACATGTAGTTAGTATAAGATAGATGATCCAACACTTAAAATACTCGAAGAAATGTTACGGTATCGTTACCATAAATATATTGATTATTTATGGTCATGTTACATGTATTAATTGCATTTTAATATAATTCATTATTATAACTATTGAATTGTATATATATTTTAAAAGTTAATAACTTTTGTATTTTTTATCAGTTTTACATATGTAATATATCAAATTAATCTTCTTTTGATGAGCTTCGATTTAACATCCATATTGTATGTATAAAAAAAATAATTTATATTTTTCTTTATAACAATAATAAAATTATTTTTATATTAATTAGAAAATTAAATTATTTATCAACTAATATATTTATATTTCAAGTAGTTATATAATATAAGTTATAAAAACTAATATAATATAACATATGTAAGTCATAAGTAACACATATCAATCTAAAATATATAGTAATATATTTTTTTGTAAAAAAGTAAACTAAATTTAATATAGTTTTCTCATTAGTTTTAAAATTTAAGAATAATTTTTTGACAAGCACCCGTGTAATACACGGGTGTTGTACTAGTAGATACACGATACATGGTTGTGGTACCTTTTTCATTTTTATTTTTTTTCCAAACAGTAGAATACTAGTACAACACATGTGTATTACACGGGTGCTTGTTAAAAAATTATATTTAAATTTTAAAATTAATGAGAAAATTATATTAAATTTAGTTTACTTTTTTACCAAAAAAATATATTATTATATATTTTAGAATGATATGTGTTACTTATGAAGGTAAATATAAATTAAAATTAATATTAAAAATAATTTTATTATTGTTATAA